CCATGGGTTTATCATAAATTGCCTTAATTGTGTTGAGGATTGTTCCTTCTAACCCCAATTTTCTTAGAGTTTTCATCATGAAAGGGTGTTGTATTTTGTCAAATGCTTTCTCTATATTTATTGAGATAATCATATGATTTTTGTTGCTCAATTTGTAATGTATCACATTGATTGATTTTTGAATATTGAACCATCCCTGCATACCAGGGATAAATCCCACTTGGTCTGGGTGAATGAACTTTCTGATGTGTAGTTGGATTCGGTTGGCCAAGATTTTGTTGATAATTTTGTATCTATGTTCATCAGGGAGATAGGTCTATAATTTTCTTTCTCTATTGCATCTTTTCCAGGCTTAGGAATTAAGGTGATATCAGCTCATAGAAAGAATTTGGGAGGATTCCCTCCCTTCCAATTGTTTTGAATAATTTGAGAAGAACTGGGGTGTTTTTCTTTAAATGTCTGGTAGAATTCAGTGGTGAAGCCATCCGGTCCTGGGCTCTTCTTTTTTGGTAGTGCATTTATTACTGATTCTATTTGTTTCATGGTTATGGGTGTATTTATGTTTTCTATATCATCATGGCTCAGTTTAGGAAGGTTGTATATTTCCAGGAATCTATCAATTTTTCAAGGATCCCCAATTTGTTGGCATACATCTCTTTGTAGTGGTATCTGATGATTCTTTTTATTTCTGTTGGGTCTGTTGTTACATTTCCATTACCATCTTTAATTTTATAGATTTGGGTCTTCTCTCTCCTTTTTTGGTTAGTTGGGCCAATGGTGTGTCAATTTTGTTTATTTTTTCAATGAAGCAGCTCTTGGTTTTGCTGATCTTTTGTATTTTTTTTTTTTTGGTTTCAATTCTGTTTATTTTTTCTCTAATATTTAGTATTTTTTTTCTTCTGCTGGGTTTGGGTTTGGTTTGCTGCTGTTTTTCCAAATCCTTGAGGAACATGTACAGGTCATTTGTTTGGTTCTTTTCCAGTTTCTTGATGTAGGCACCAATTTCTATAAACTTTCCTCTTAGCACTGCTTTTGCTGTATTCCACAAGTTTTGATAAGTTGTATTCTAATTTTCATTTGTTTCTAGAAATTTTTTGATTTCGCTTTTGATTTCTTCTATGACCCACTATTCATTCAGAATCATGTTGTTCATTCTCCATGTGTTTGCATATGATGCAAAGATTCCTGAGTTGTTGATTTTGAGTTTCATTGCGTTATGATCTGAGAAGATGCATGGTATAATTTTAATATTTTTGAGTTTGCTGAGGCTCCCTTTATAGCCTATCATATGGTCAATCCTAAAGTATGTTCCATGCACTGGGGATAAATTTGTGAACTCTGGCTGTGGGGTTGAAGGCTCTGAAGATATCTACTAGGTTTATTTGGTCTATAGCATCAATTAGCTTTGCTGTTTCCTTGTCAGCTTTCTGTCTGGTTGATCTGTCCATTGGTGAAAGTAGGGTGTTGAAGTCCAATGTTACTATTGTATTTGAGTCTATATCGCCCTTTAAGTCCTTTAGTAATTATAAAGTAAGTAACCAGGCGCCCTGTAATTAGGTGCATATACATTTATAATATTAATGTGTTCATGTTGGATTGATCCTTTAATCATTATATAATATCCTTCTTTGTCTCTTTTAATAGTTTTTGTGTTAAGGTCTATTTTGTCTGATATTAGGATGGCCACACTATCTCTGTTTTGTTTCTGTTAGCTTGGAATATTTTTTTCCATCCTTTCACTTTTAGTCTGCATGCATATTTGCTGATAAGGTATGTTTCCTGAAAGCAGCAAATAGATGGAATTTCTTTTTTAATCCAATCAGCTAGTCTGTGTCTCTTTGTTGTAGAGTTGAGGCCATTTACATTCAGTGTGACTATTGTTAAATGCTGTATTTTTCCAGTCAGGTTTCTTTAAAAGAGCTGTTTATGTATTTTGAGATTTGTTTGTAGTTTAGTTGGGTCATTTTCTACTTTAGTCTTTTTTGTAGTGAAGTTCGTGTTTCTGTATTTCTGTTGCAGCATGTCTTTGAGCCAGTGTTGTTGAGCTGGATGCAAGGATACAATTTCTTTCAGTTTCTGTCGTGGAAGATCTTTATTTCCCCTTAATTCATAAATGACAGCTTTGCAGGGTACAGTATTCTAGGTTGGCATTGTTTATCTTTTAAAACTTGGAATATATCATGCCATTGTTTCCTTGCCTGTAATGTTTGTGGTGAGAAGTCTGGGGTGAGTCTGATTGAATTATCTCTGGATGTGATTTGCCGTTTCTCTCTGGCATATTTTAGGATTTGTTCTTTGTGTTTCACTGAGCTGAATGTTGCCACAATGTGTTGCAGTGAATTTCTCTTCTGGTCTATTTTGTTGGGGTTCCTGTGTATTTGTTGAATTTGGTTGTTTCTTTCAATTTGCCTATGTTGGAAGTTTTCTGATATTATTTCATTGAAAATGCTTTCTAATCTATTCTCTCTTTCCACACCTTCAGGGACTCCTGTTATCGGGACATTACAATGCTTGATTGAATCTTGTAGGTCTCCAACTGTATTTTTTGATTTTCTAATTTCTTCTTCCTGTGTTTGATCTGACTGTATTATTTTTGGAAGTTTGTCTTCAAGTTCTGATATTCACTCTTCTATTTCATCTGTTCAATTTCTGAGGGATTCCACAGTGTTTTTTATATGGTCAATTGAGTTTTTCATTTCCAGTATTTCATTCTGGCTTCTCTTTAGGATCTCTAATCCTTGGGCATGCTTTTCATTCAAATCTTGAATCTGTTTCTCATTACTTCTAAGTAATCTGTTATTAATTTTCTGAATTCCTTTTCAGGCATGACTTCAAATTCTTCTTCTTCAGTCTCTATTATGGATGGTTTAGCCTGCTCCATTGGTGAGTTCATAGGTTCTTCTGTATTCTTATTCAGGATTTTTCATTTGTTCTTCAGATTTTTATTTGGTTTAATTTTCAGGTTGATTTCCCTCTGCTATGGGTCTGTAGCAATAGCCAGCATAAGCAGGCAGCTCCTCCTTCTAGTGTTTGTTGATTTCTGGTAATTTGAGTAGGCTGGTACTGGGGCTTTGAGGTACCAAGCTCTGCCCCCTGGGGCTGGTCTCCCTGTTCCTTTGTTTTCCCTAAAGTGCCTGGGCCTCCTTTATTCAGCTCCCTGTAACAGTGTCCCCTGCACGAAGAGTGGGGATTTGCTCCAAACTGCTGTTGTCCTTGTTCCCTGGGTGGTGTGGTCCCCACCACTGAAGTTCGCGTGTTTGGGAGGCAAAAGCAGAGTCTGCTCTCTTTCACACCCAAAGTAAGCAAACAAGATGGCTGCTCTCTGCCTGCTGCAGCTCTGGTTGTGGTGGGTGGGAGGGAGACACTGAGGGATTGTGGCATGTTCAGTCTCTCAGTTCGTCCCCCTGGATCACACCCTCTTCCTGCAGGTGCTATTCACTATGTTTTGATTTCCTTCCCCACTCAACCATGCGTGTGTCTCACCTGCCCATCCCAGGGTAGGTCAGAGGTGGCAGCAGCAGTGGCGGCAGCAGTGGCATTAGAGGCAGCAGCAGTCATCCTCCCACTGGTTCTTTGTTCCGTTCTCTTTCTGCAGTTCTGGGCACCTTTACCTGGGCATGCATTCTCTGGCATGCTCCCATGTCACTCTGAACCAACCTTTCATGGTTCTGTCGCCTGACTGTCCCCTCTATTCATCAATTTCTCTCTGCATGACTCAGCACACCTTGCTGCTGTACTGCCATCTTCAGCCCCTCTCCCATTGTGTCTCAGTGAGTATCTTGAGGCATGTGCTGGGTGTAGCTAGGGAGCTCTGTTCAGTGCTCCAGTGTGAGGGGAGTGTCCAAAGTGACACTGAAGTTGGGCATGGTAAATATCTTCTTCTTCTTCTTTTTTTCAATCAGAGGGGAGCATTAATCTGCTCTGTTGGTGTAGTCTCATGCTCACTTCCTCTCTTCCAAGGAGACCAATACTTGGTCACTAGCCCCAGTGGGTATAATATTTGTTCAAAACTGCCACAAGAACCACACAAAGGATCCATGCAGTCCTAGGTGTGAGCATGGATCCTACAGCAATGACCCTCACTAGGAATTCTGGGTGCCCTGAGCATGTGGAGCTGAGCACAGTGACTACTCAAGGGCCCAGTCACACCCTGTGCCCTCATACGCAGACACAGCGTTTTCACAGTCCTAACACACAAGGCTCTCATAGTCAGGAGCACCCAGCCCCCTGTCAATTCTCCCAACCAGACTCAGGCATCTCATCTCCAATCAGCTGATTGCTTGGTGTGCGGACACAAACTGTTACAGCTGTTATGTATGTCCCAAGCACTTTGCATTATTTTCTGTGGGATTTTTCTTTTCTCAAACTTGTATCTTCATTACTCTTAAGAGTTCATAACATCACTCATGCTACAAGTCCAAATCACCTGCTTCCTTTTTGTGACTCCCATATGCACTCTCCCAGCTAAGTCCTGTCCATTCTACCTCAACAGTCTTCCCATCCCTCCTCTTAACCTAGGCAATTTCAGTAGGTGCTCAGCTTCACTTAACCTCTTCTTACTCCATACTACTTTATATATACAATACTAGATTCATCTTATGGAAACATAAGCTCTGACCATGTATCCCACATGTGTTCTATCTCCCCTACTAGACTGTAAGCTCCTTATGGGCAGGATCTATGTCTGTCATCTTTGTATCACCCATAGCATCTTACCAATAAATATTTTTGAATGAAAAAAATATTGCTTAGTAAATATATTAAATATTGCCATTTCTAGTGCTTGCTCTGGATTAAATATTGAGTCATTGTTAGCATCCATTACCTCAGAAATGGAAAACTCTACAGAATGAATTTTAAAACTTTTCTTGCAGTCAATCTGGAGGGTAATGCGGAAATATAAATATGAAAATATAGGTTCTCAATCTTTTGGGCACTTAGTAAAATCAAAAATTAAGAAAAATCTCCACATACGAACAGCTGAGAAATAAAGAACTTACTTGTTGTTCTCTGTGAAATCACTAAAATATAAGGAAAAAACAAATCCATTTAATTTTCTCAAACAGAAAACACATGATAATATCTAATATATTTAACTGGTATATGTGAGAGGAAGATATGAGTAGGCAAAAGAAGGAAGCATCCCATACAATATTATAGAATAGTTGCAGTGCAAACTTAGAACGAAGATTAAGCAGCGATGGAGTGATGAAGTCAAAAGTAGGATTTCCTTAAATGACCTCTTTTCTTCTTGGACCTAAGCAACTTTTGGAATAATCTTAAAAATCTTATAGATCAATAGATATTTCTGGCTCCTTTGAATAGCATTACAATCTTGGAGGGAACACCCACAGTCTCTTTCCACTTAAGCATAATTATGCACTCTCTTGCTCACTTGCTCTCAAAAATTCCGCCTATCACTATTATTTAATAACATTCCTTAAAAAGATTTATTTATTTATTTATTTATTTGAAATACATACAAAGAGAAACACACACACACACACACACACACACACACAAACAGTGAAATCTTCCAGCTGCTGTTCACTCTCCAAATGGCTGAATTGGCTGCAAAGGCCAGGGCTAGACCTTGCAGATCAGGAGTCTGGAACTCTATCCAGATTTCCTCTGTGGGTGACATGGGCCCAAGTAGTTGGAAAACCTTCTGCTTTCCCAGTCACATGAGCAAGGAGCTGGAGCAAAATAGGCAGGTGGGACTTGAGCCAGTGTTCATATGAAATGCTGGTGCTGTGAATCAGCTTAGCCTACAGTGCCACCACTCTGCCCTCTAATATTCTTGAGTTTTGATTTCTTTCAATCTATGTTTTCTTTTTTAAAAAATTATTGTTTTTTTCACTTTTATTGAAAGGCAAATACACACATACACATGTACGCGCATGTGCGTGTACACACACACACACACTGTGGCAGGCAGAACCCAGGAGTCTGGAACTCAATCCTGGTCTTCCATATGGATAGAAGGGACCCACATTTTTGAACCATTATCTGTTGCTTTCCAGGGTGCACATTAGCATATAGGTAGATTGGAAGCAGAGGGGCTAGGATTTGAACCCAGACACTCTGATATGGGATGTGAACACCCTAAGTATTGTCTTAAACACTGTGTCAAACACTTGCCCCATTAATCAGTATTTTCTTTAATTATCTGTAACATAAAGGAGGGTGGATAATAAGGAAGCAACAGAAGAAAAAGAAACTCAAATGTAACAAAAGTTCAGTAAAGGGGACCAAAAAGAACCAAAGCAGAGAAATAAATGAGTACTTACTCAGGGGTGCTAAAGGCATACCTAAACAAACATAAACATAAAACAACAAATTAGGCCTTGGCAGAGATTTGTTGGAAAGGAATAAGTTTCCTCCTAAGAAGGTCTATTTGTGTAATGTAGAGGCTTACTAGTAACACCAGTTGTGCGTTCAAATTATGGTTCTATGACTATGTATTCTTGGCTATGTATTTCATCTCAGTTTCATATTCCTTACTAAAGGGATTAATAGGTTTTCTTTAGGATCAAATGAGATAATGTAATTAAAGCACATAGGAGGTACAAATTAAAATTGAAGAAATTAAGTGAATGGAAACTTCCCTTACAGGAAAGGCTAGATGTGCAAGGGCAAAGGAAACTGGAAGCTGTGAATCTCAGGTTTCTGCACATAGAGTTAGAAATGACAGGACAGAGGTCCCCAGGCCTTGTAGAAAATGGCAACAACAGAAAACAGTAGACAGACAAATTCAACTTACCATGGGGCGCTGGAGATGGACCCGCTGAAAAACAGATGTATCTTAGCAACCTTTTTTCTCCCACAGCTTTTTCCCCTTCTATTTAGAGAATTCTCTCTTTGTAAGGTCATTAACAGTAGGAAAAACTTTCCCTATTGGTATTTATTTACTTTTAGTGTCAATCAGTAGAGTGTGAATTTTCCAAAGAATCATTAATAACAACTTGGAATTTGGGTAATGGAAGGTAAGTTGGTAAAGTAATATGCTTTTCAAGCTCAGCATCCCAGCTCTGCCAGAGGAAAAAGATATTCCAGGCAAATGAAATTAAAGTAGAACAGAAAAAGGTATCTCCTTTTCCTTTCTTTTTTGTTCAGTTTTAACTCCCCCATTCTTTTTTATATAAGTGAGTGAAGTTTGATTTTTCCATAACATTAACAGTAAGCTGAGACAATAATGGGTAATATAAAAGCAAGACATTGAGAAAATAGCAATATCAAGCTTCTAAAATCTCTGTATTGTGAGGAAAATTTTCTTTAGGTATCTCGGAACTCAAATGTGAAAAAATAGCACCAAATTGAAAATGGTTATAAAAAACTCCTTATCCTCTCCTTTCTCTGTTACCAATTTTTATTTTCTATATGTTTTTAGTTAATTTCTTGTTGATAGCTTTATGACTATATATTTTTTCTCTGCTCTTCATATTTCTGTAAATCCATAGTTATGACTTTCAGTATATCATTAAAATCCCAGAAAAGTTTTGGTAATAATGAGATAGCAAGAGGTCAAGTTGTACTTTAAGCCCTTTGTATCTCAATCTGGCCAGATAAAGACTTTTGGACATGTAGAGACCAAATGAGTCCAGTGCAAGAGAATTAAATGAGCACAGATTTATTGATTAAATGAGGAGATAATTTTACAGCACAACAAGGAGATTTCCTATTACCCCCTTGTTTCTTATCCTACTCATTTTTATACTAATCATAAAATTTCCTGGTAATATGAGGATACACCAAAAAGTTTTGTGGAAAGTGGAATTAAAACATAAGCTCATTTTAGTACAAAAATTGTGATACATGCATAGTTCTTCCATGAACTTTCCCCATTAACTCTTTGAAGATACTTTGTATAATTGCTTGAAATATTTTTCTGATTAAAGGCATTTGAAATTTCTAGAAAACTGGTAGAATTCTGGATAATGAAAAAGCAAAAAGGCTCGAAAATAGGCATTTCAAGTTCATGTGTTAAAACGCTGGTAACAGTATACATTGCTAGACTTTGGCAAATTCACAGCAGAGAAGCAAGTAAACAACTGACTGATTTCCTGTGTATGTGACAGCTGGAAAACAGAAATGTAATCTTCATAATTCTCTTATTTTTTCTACATAGAAAGTCCCTGAATGACAGTCTTTAGAGCTATGGAGAAACTTGGTTTTCCTCTGATCTTTAATTTTTATGTGAGTCAGTGATTGTCCAAGAAACTTATTAACGACCTAGTGGATTTCTGGGTAATGGAAAAATAAGGGGTGAAGGAAATTGGACGTTTAAGCTAGTTTATCCTAACAAGGGTGGATACATTTTCGATTAAGATCTTTAACTGCTGCCAGAGACAAAGGATTTCCATAATGAAGGTGACGGTCAAACTTACAAGTGGATCCTGCAGCTGAAAAACAAACAGAAAAATTAGTATGGAGAGTCTGGTGAAAGAGGACATAATTTTTCTTTTATTCTGAGAGTCTCAGAAATGTCCATGGAATGACCATTCTCCTCAATGGAAGAGCACAGAAAATTTGCCATTATACCTGGGGCCATCTATCTCCTGCTCAGTCTGGGAGGCTGCAGGAAAGGGAGATGACTGTCTTTTCTTTTTTTTTTTTTCAGTAACTGCTAAAACTGCCTGAAATCCTGCATGGGATTGGTAATGTCTTTAATTTTAAATTCTTTAAATAAAGGTGCTGCTTTCACCTTTATTCTTCTATTGCTGTTATCCTGTGCAGGCTTTCAGTTACTGATAAAACATTATCCCTCCCTTGTTGACAGATGACTATACACTTTGGATAGCTTCCTTTGATTACCATATTTTTTTGATCAGTGTGGTTTGTATTTTCAATTCATTCATTTCTGTAGGGGGCGAGACAGCAACTAGATAGTGGGTTAAGATAAAGAGATGGAGGAACATGTGTTTTTATACCCACAAGAGGGATGCAAGTGAAGGGAAAGGATCCTTGTAGGAAGCCAAAGGCAGCTATCAAATGAGAACAGGCATGGAACTTACTGTTCATTTCTGAAGGTTCAGCTGGTGAAAAATGAAAGGGAAGAAAAGGGAAAAATCAGCATGTTTAGAATAAGAGAAAAATCAGTTTTCCCAAGAGAGGCCTTATTTTTTAAATGTAATTAAAATGTAAGTTTATTTCAGTGCAAAAAATTTTTGAAATCCATGTAAAATTATCTTCATAATATATATTTCCCCTGTACTTTTTGAAGATCTCTGCATGTTGCCCTGCCTTTTCTTTACTTCAGTTCCCAAAGGGCAGAAAAATAATCCTGCCATTTAACCAAAGACTTTTTAACATGGAAGGAAACAGTTCAGCTTTTTCTTTTTTTATAGAAAACTTTTATTTAATAAATATAAATTTCAAAAGTACAACTTTTGGATTGTAGCGTTTCTTCCCCCCATAACTACCCCCCTACACAGAAACCATCCCATCTACTCCTTCTCCCATCCCATTCTTCATTAAGATTCATTTTAATTATCTATATACAGAAGATCTCTATACTGAGTAAAGATTTCAACAGTTTGCACCCACAAAGACACACCAAGTATAAAGTACTGTTTGAAGACTAGTTTTACTGTTAATTCTCATAGAACACATTAAGAACATAGATCCTACATGGGGAGCAAGTGAACAGTGACTCCTGTTGATTTAACAATTGACTCTCTTATTTATGACATCAGTAATCACCTGAGGCTCTTGTCATGAGCTGCCAAGGCTATGGAAGCCTCTTGAGTTCACTAACTCTGATCTTATTTAGACAAGGCCATAATCAAAGTGGAAGTTATCTCCTCCCTTCAGAGAAAGGAACCTCCTTCTTTGATGGTCCCTTCTTTCCACTAGGAAATCACTAAAAGAGATCTTTCATGTAGGTCATTTTTTGCCACAGTGTCTTGGCTTTCCATGCCTGAAATGCTCTCATGGGCTTTTTATCCAGATCTGAATGTTTTAAGGGCTGATTCTGAGGCCAGAGTGTTGTTTATGGCATTGTTCATTCTATGAGTCTGCTGTGTGGCATGCTTCCCATGTTGGATCATTCTCTCCTTTTTAATTCTATCAATTATTGTTAGCAGACACTTGGTCTTATTTATGTGATCCCTCTGACAATCTCTCTTCATGATCAGCTATGAACTTGAACTGATTACTTTAACTAGTAAGATAGCATTCATACCTGCCAACTTAATGGGATTTGGAGTCCCATGGCAAGTTTTGAGCTTTTCCGTTATGGGTAAGTCCGAGGGAGTGTATGCCAAACTATAGATCTCCTCCCTCTCCAAGAGAGGCCTTTTAAGAGTAACTTCAGAGAGGAATCAGGGAGTTCTAAATCCTGCATATTAGCTTAGTTTTCAGTCAGTGTCTGGCCTCAAGTTGCCCACCTTTGTGTTATGTGGTTTCAGGCTTGGTGCTGATCTGTGGCAAGAGAGTGGCTATAAAATGAAAGTAAGGCTTCATTCGTCATTTCCATACCACTTCCAGAGTCATAATATCTTAAACTTGTACTTCTAAATACTTTCATCTTTTTCATTTTATTTAATCTCTCTTTCCTACCTAATCTTTTAATTGATCTGAAAAGTTTCCTTCTCAATCCTTTTTGGGAGCCACTAGTTCTTGTTATAGTTATTTTAATATTAGTCAGTGTATTTTGAACTTTATCCAAGTCACTTGTAATTTAGGAATAAACTAGAAAGGAAAACAAGTGTTAATAATTTTAATTTAAGCATTATTATTTTTAAAGTGTTTACACATGGGGAGAGAGAGTCAAGTGAGGAGAATGTAAGAGCAATGATTTTATATACTCATATAAGTTTTCTAGCATGTGGGCTACTAGGGAACTCTGTGTTAGGTAGTTGCATCCTTTGCTCCAGTGAGATCCGCTGACACAGGCTGGCTTGTATTTTCTCTCTGCAGGAATTGTGAGAACTTCCAAGGCTGTAGGTCTTGTAGATAATTAAGAATATTGGAGAGGTAGCATTAATTTAAGTGAATACCAGCATCTAGAACAAGAAACTTGTAGTTTTAGCGGTCATGGTATGATTGTGTGAGTCGTTGCCCACCCTTTCCATTTTTTGAATTCAATTTCTAAGATATCTTGTAGGATTGTATACTCCATGACAAACCACATCTTTTCCTGTATTGTTCATGCCTTTATGTATCAGTAGATTAATACCTCAATTTACTTGATTTTTGTTATCTTTCCTCTCATTTACACCTACTTTTTTTTTATAATGTATGTTCATTTTTTTTAACTTTTATTTACTGAATATAAATTTCCAAAGTACAGCTTATGGATTACAATGGCTTCCCCCCCATAACTTCCCTCCCACCTGCAACCCTCCCCTTTCCCACTCCCTCTCCCCTTCCATTCACATCAAGATTCATTTTCAATTCTCTTTATATACAGATCAGTTTAGCATATATTAAGTAAAGATTTCAACAGTTTGCACCCACATAAAAACACAAAGTGAAAAATACTGTTTGAGTACTAGTTATAGCATTAAATCACAATGTACAGCACATTAAGGACAGAGATTCTACATGAGGAGTAAGTGCACAGTGACTCCTGTTGTTGACTTAACAAATTGAC